TGGAGAGTTAAGTGGCCAGATGTAAGGAGTGATGTGATCGCAGAAATTATCTGACAGCCATGACTGGGTTCTTCTGCTTGTGTGGCATGGTGCAGAGTCCTGTTGCCAGACACAGAGTTTTCCAGCAGCCACCATCTTCACCCAAGACAGAACTATCTCCTCAAGGCACTTGATGTAGGTCTCCGTGTTGTGTCTGTGGCCTCTGTGGGAAGATGAATGGAGGCATAACGTCGTCATCATTAGTGATCACTCCAAACACCTTCGTAATTACCATTAGACTCATCCATCTCTTTCGTAATCCTCTTAATGTCCTCAGATCAAGATCCGAACACACTGAAATATTCGTATTGGAGCTTCCGGTGCGAATGCCAAGAAGTACAGCATGCCGTTTCCAAATTTCTGGTAGATCGAATTGCGCCATGGTGCTCTTTTTTCACAGACAGTGCCCAACTGACCTTACCATACTGTGCAGTCGACAAAATCAAAAACAAACCACGCGCATGCGCGAAATTAAAAATATAAAATGGCGACAATTTGCCCATCACACCCTGTATCTATCTATATGATTATGTTCCTATCTAGCTATCTCATTATGTTCCTATTTTTCTATCTCATTCTATTCCTATCTATCTACCCATCCCATTCTGATCCTATCTACCTATCCCATTTTGTTCATATCTATCTATCAATGAATGCATGTACACACACACACACACAAACACACAACGCAATAACAAATGAGAAAATGAGTTTGGTTAGAGATCGGAATCGCGGTTGATACGGACAGCAGAGTCCAAGTTGACCACTACATTTCTACAGGCAATCTATTCGACAAGAACCGGCAGGCTGACCCGGTCAATTCTGTTCACCTCAACCGAGGACACGGACCAATCGAGAGTTGGTCATCTTCCGACAAGCGACGATCGAAAGGAGGCATGGGACGAAAGCGGGAACCCTCGGGAGAAACGAAAGAGAGAGAGAGAGAGAGTCATTCTATCGGACGCACCTCTCCTGACCTTTCCATCGATAGGCCAATTTAACTCTCACGAGTTATTAATGTCTTTTCCTCTGCAAGTAGTCACCGCTTAGGTAACCTCCGTTATTTCTAATCACTGCATCGGAAGAACAGAGCACAAACGCCCTCTGTGTGTGTGTGGACGGTACAGTTGGATATCTGTGAATGCTTAATTTCAACAAAAATGGCCGACTCCAACCGGTCCCTTCAACCCCGCGAAAAAAGTGTCGCAAAAAGTGAGCGGCTTTTAATTTACGACCAGATTCGTTTTAAAACAGTGTACTAATAACAATAATAAAAAAAAACGTTGGTTTTTTAATGTCATAACAGGACACAGGCGATTGTGATGCGTCACAGCCCCCTCTTCATTAATATCTGTGAATTTCAATGACTTCTTGGGAAAGAGGGTGTAATGGTCTTCTGTCGCTTTTCCCGCGTTTTTTTTTTTAAATTCTGAGTTGTTTTTTTTTCCTAGACTGACTAAGTAAGGCTAGATAGCCCAGTCTACTCTTCTATTTAACCAATCTTTTTATCAAGTGCCATGTTATTTCAGGATGTAGGTGATAATGGCTCTCAACAGATTCCTATTATTTAATAGTGTAGTGTTTTCTTGTTGCCTTCTCCATAGTCGCTCTTCTTCCAGGGTGGTTGTCAACCAAGGCTCGTGAGTTCAGTCTGCTCTGTCATTTAACCCGTAGCTGGTCAATTATGACATAATGTATAAGAATTACCGTATATTTCCGGGTATAAGACGACCGTTACATTCCAAAAATCACCATTAAAAATTGGAGATCGTCTTATACTACAATTCTAAAACAGAAACCATAAATTCTGAGTGATGTTTGTCAGTAGGCTAACCTTGGCCTCAGTGCGATAACCAATAACGTATATAAAAAGATTCACATTATCAAATAAACTTATAATAAAAGTGAAAAAAAACAATTCTACTTTATATATTACTGGCATAACTTCATGATAAACTGCCTATTCGAATAATTATTCTATATCAATGAAATCAAGTTGTAAGTATGCAAGTTCAGATGAGAAAATGTAAACATCGAGTTATGATGCGTTCACAGCAATGGAATATATTATTATCGTACATTATCGTACTGTTATTAGAGGTATTTTGTGATTGTCAATGAAGCATAAATAAATGGTCATTAGTACACCAGGTTGTTTGTAACTGCTTAGATATAGGAAGAAGAGTCAGTATTCACAAGAGATCACTTAATGAAACGTAAGCAAAACAATGATTTCCCTTTTAAGGAACGTGTGTAGGAAAAATATGTGTATGATATACAATCGGTTTTGTTCTTTCGTTTATTTTGAATTTCTAAGGATACAGTAACGACATCATCTTTATATAATCAATATGCAGTCGTCTTATACTACAGGTATAGGATAAATTCATGAAAATTTTCTATATATTTTTTTACCTCATCTTAACTAAAGGTTGCCTTATATCCAGACGCCTTACGTTACACCTGTCTGACCACAGCTATGTTAGAATACATTTAAACGCACACACAAACTTACCAGACTCCATTCGAAACATACTAGTAGAAAATGCTAACATAAAAACCTCATCCACATGTAAAAACAAAAGAATGAAAATAATGGAAGCCTTAATAATAAAAAAGAAAAAGCCAGCACTTAATAATATTAACTGCGAACACGGCCACAATGTGCTAACTGTGTGCGGAAAACAAAACATCTCTATGACACTAAAAACATACACACAAGCCACACACCCAACTTGAAAAAATAAAATCATCCTTGATAATGGCTAAAACTATAACCGAAAGTGCTCGGAATGATAGAACATTTGGACAGTTTCTACACTCTATGTGCAAAAAAGAAAACACTTGTTCGAACACAAGAAAAATTATATAAAAAACTTAATCGTAGTACCTTGTCTGTCGTCTTCAATGAAATATGTATAAATGAAGGATTACTGCCTAAAGATACAATTATATATATATATATATATATATATATATATATATATCGGCATTTAAATATTAAATAATATATTAATATAGATGTGCATATGCATATGTATATGTGTGTATGTATATTCAAAAGAGAATAAATAAGTTATATACAGTTATAAACCTGACATTCAATAATTAATATCCTAATAACACCAAGCCAGGTAAAATACAAACCACTGACTACTAAATAAGAAAAACGAAATAATGAGCAAATGAAGACATATGAACAAATATTCCCTTCGCCATTTAAGCATTAATTAAAAAACAAAACAATTACTTAAACAAGAAATAAATAAAAATGAGTTATTTCAACAAGAAATGAATAAAAAAAATTGAAGATACCTAAACCCCTAATATTCCGGAAAATTAGCCCAAATGTTGTCTCTGACACCGGATATAAAATTGTTACGTCATCTTTTGACACTCGGATCCGAAAGATAAAGAAAGAAAAGGAATAATATACGGAGACAAGTGAATTATGAAAAGAAAAAATAACCACATCTTTCTTAGACATGCGCACAAGTATAGACATATACGCACGCGCACAAAGAAAAAATCAATATAACACCAATAAAAAACGCATAAATTATTTTTTAACTTAATATAAAAATAATGAATACGAGAAAATTGACAGACATTTGCTGTTATCCACTGACGAGTAGACCGAACAATTGCACAAAGGTTCGTCTACGAATCTCTAGAGTAGTGGTGCTGAATATAATAGCAATCAACTAAGTAAACATATATATATATATATATATATATATATATATATATATATATATATATATAATTCTTATATATTTATATATATTTGTATATATTTATATCTGAGTTTTTATATATTTTTATATATTTATATTTGAATTTTTATATATTTATATAAATTTATATCTGAATTTTTATATATTTATATATGATTTTATATATATATATATATATATTTATATCTGGTATTTTATATATTTTTATATATTTATATGATATTTTATATATTTATATCTGAGTTTTTATATATTTTTATATTTATATATGAATTTTTATGTATTTTTATATATTTATATCTGAATTTTTACACATATATAAACATATATCAGTTTATTCTGTTACCAGAAAGAGAAATGAAATCAGCGAAGTGATTTCGAATTCTGATCGTATATTTATTATATTTACTTTGTATGAATACCTTAAGAAAAAGCACGATCTTACGTCGTCGTCTGTACCTTCACCAAATATATTAAAATCTTAGTGTATAATGGATGCTGAGTAGTTCTCAGTTCGAGCAAGGAACCCTTCAAAAAATAGTCCTGATGTCTGGTCATTTGGTTAGATTTTGGGAAGTGGGCCGAGCGGAGAACTTTTCTGCACTTCTTTGTCGTATTAATATGAAATTCTACTGGTCACAAATTGCGGATTCAGTTTTATATTGTTATTAAGTAATAAACTAATCCCCTAATATTAGTACGTAGCAGAGCATTTTGCAAAGTTCTCCGTTCGCAGCCCAATCAAGAAAGATTCTAAAATAAATAAATCATACTTATTATAAAATCCAAGTTGTGTGTGTGTGTGTCTGTACGTTTATATATTGAATCGGATTTCCTACATTTTTCAACCGATTTCAACAAAACTTCACAGGACTACGTAAATTTACCTTGCGGTGGTTCTGACAGCACCAAAAATGGGAAAAACACAATTGTTTTTGCACAAAATCAATTTGAAAGCACGATTAAGATGCATCGCGAGAATGAAGGGTGGACAACTCATATCGAGTTACACTTATTATAAAACCCAGGTTGTTTGCGTGTGTGTGTGCATTCGTTTATATATGGAATCGGATTTCCTATATTTTTCAACCGATTTCAACAAAACTTCACTTTTTTTTTGGCAGTTAGTGTTTCTTATTGTCTTACACACTTTTTTCTTTATTTTTACATTCAGAATGCTTTAAAAATTCCATTTACAAGATAATTGTTTATAATAAAATTCTATTCAATCGGTAGACTGATAACAATTGAAAACAATGTTTTTGTTTGAGTTTGGGTTTGACCAATTCGTAAAAAAAAAAAAAATACTAATTAAGACATGCGTGTCCATCAACCTTAAACAATAATCTTTGTCAATTTTATTTTTCAGTCTTTATGATGGTCGATACTTGATCTATCTCTTACTGTTACATCCCCGGGCAACGCCGGGCTCTACTGCTAGTATGAAATAAAAAGATACAGATTCTTATGTTCGCTCATTCGTAAATTTCTGGGAATTTGGTCGGGCCGAGAACTTTTCATAACTTTTCGTATCACAGAACGAAATAACTACTGATGCGATAAGAAATTATTACTATTATTATACATGCAGGGCCGGATAATAAACCTTTGGGGCCCGTAGACTAATCAAATTATAGGCACCCCTCCTCAGTAGGGAGCCCTCTCTCACTCGCCTGTCTTTGATAATTTTTACTCGTGTTACATTTTTGCGACATTTAAGTAGCTTGAAGTAGTAAACTTATAGCAAATTATTTACATTATTCGGACTATTGTCCTCATCTTTGTCGCCATATTTATTTCAACGTTTCGGCCGTTGTACGCTCGCCTTCTTTCAGGGTGAGTTGAATGAACTGAACCCTTTATTTCGCCCACTGAACCAGAACAGTCTACTCCAGTGAGCGAAATAAAGGGTCTGGTTCGACATTCCAAACACGGGTTTAATTGTGGGTCTTCCCGAGCCCGTAGGCTCGGCCCAAAAATGCCCATGGAACTCGTATAAACGGCATCGGGTTGGTCAACCTCCCCGATCGACTCTACCCTTCGGCAGAAAGTTCTACTGTTTAGCTGGAACAGGTTGCAGCTAGACTCTGTAGTCCACCGACTTACGGATACTTATAGACAATTACTACCTATAGTGTAGTTACTCATGGGGGTGACAGGTTATTCCATTTACATCAAAAATGAATCCAACCTTGCATATATGTTCATTTCAGATAATTTATTTGAATATTTTTGTTTTTTTCTTTTCCCTAATTTCTCAAAGAAAATTACAGATAACAGGATATATCCATCGACATATTAAGATAATACGTCCAATAGCAGAAGTGACGTAAGGTTTATCGTACTTCAAATGATGATCCATGCACAAAATTCCCAATTAACTCTTCCCAAGGACGTTATCAAGTAGTTTTAATTTTGTAGAGTTAATACTTTAACTTTACACTGATACTGTCTTATTTCTGTATCTTCAAAAAATGTAAAGAAGTCTATGAACGAGAGTTCAATCATGTCCTAATTCTCTTGAATGAACTTCACGACTTCGCAGATGCCTTTTATGCGTTATTTACGAGCCGGCGAGCGGGCGTGTATGTCGATGAAAAAAAAAAGAACTCCTTCATAAACTAATTTGTAAATCTTTTAGTTTTATGGCAAACGGTATGATTCGGCAGATGGTGTTTTTGTGCATTGCTTACTCAATAAATATAAGTTTACGTGGAGGTTTTAACAAAAAAACACTTCTTACCGTCATTTCTATAACAGTCACATGTCGAGAGTGAAAATCGGCTTCAATAAAAGCAAATTTTGAAAGATAGATAGAAAGATAGATATTATTTATAGGCAGATAAATCAAGAAACAGTTGATAGCGTGAGACAAAGAGTGGGAGGGAAATAAATGCGGACAGACGAGAGAATTATTAGAGTGAAAGAAAGAGTGGTAAATATGTAGAGACTGAGAGAGGGATAGAGCGGACGCGGAGGAGAGATACGAATAGACTCCGAGAGAAAGAGAGGACAAACAGATTGACAAAAGTACTGACTATAGAAAAGACTGACAGGGAGAGGAGAGAGTTACGGACAGAAAAAAAAAGAGTGATACTGACTGACAGAGTGACACACACACACACACACATATATAAGTCGACAATGAGGTCAACACCAATAAGCAACAGTCTGTTTCGGGTCTTAAGATTGCGTTCAAGCATGAAACAAACTGCGCAATAATATATATATATATATATATAGTAATAATAATAATAATAATAAGAAGAAGAAGAAGAAGAAGACGACTGACAGGAAGAGAGGGATATAAACAGACTATAAGAGAGAAGGAGGTAGACACAAACAGATTGATAGAAAGAGAGAGAAGTGGATAAGAACAAAGTCTCTGAGAGAGAGAGAGAGAGAGAGAGACCCATGAACAGAATGACAGAGAGGGATAAATAAATACAAACATACACACACACACACACACACATATATATATATATATATAGAAAGAAAGAGAGAGAGAGACACAGACAGGGTGGATGCAAACAGACTGATAAAAAGAGTGAGCAGATACGAACAAATTGAGAAAAGGAGAAGCATAGAGAGAGAAAACGGAGCGATAGACAAGGAGAAATACAAAAAAAAAAAGCCTGAGAGAGAGAGATAAGGATGCAAACAAACTGATAGAGAGAGGAAGAGAGAAGAACAGATTAACAGGGAAGAAGGTGTAAGTAGACTAATATAGAGGAGAAGAGAGAAGAGAGAGAGAATCGAAACAAGTTAAATGGGAGGAAAGTAATTGGGGGAAGGAATTATAAGGCAAGAAGTTTAAATTCTTGCACGTTGAACGCTAAACATTACGCTAATGTTCTTATCATCAAGTAAATAGATTGCAGTGAACTTTTATTGCCTCTTACGTTTCGTTTGAAATTCAACGCGTCGCATCTTTTTATATATTTTTTTTTTATCCCACCTATCCATTTTTGATTTTGATTTTTATTTCCTTGAATTATTTTCAGTAAAAATGCGAAACGAAAAGCTTAAGTGCGTGCAAGAATAAAACTACAATAAATTTATCAAAAAAGGAAAAAAAAAAAAAAATGACCATCACCATTTGGCGATCAAAGTTAAACTTTTTTTTTTTTCTTTTTAAATTGACGATAGAAAAATCGCCGTGTTTTCTTCGTATATTTGAATGGTTGAAACTCTCCAAGTTAACACTTTCTTTTAGTCTCTTAATTTGAAGTGATCATTTCTGGATCGTAAACCTTATTGTGTGGTCGTAAGTTCTAATAGGATAATCAGTGAATTTGCTTGGTGCATACAGGGGTAGAGACATTCAATGGGATAATTACGGATTTTGGTATACTTTTACGAGCTAATTTATCCGGTACTTCAGGGATATATAAATGCATCCTAATTTATAGGATTTACTTCCCTTATCTACTCGGAATTATTGATATAACAAGCACTTGAGCAATGGTTAACGAGCATTACTACCGTGTCGGGAGTTCGATTTTCAGGTTTCTAGCACTTGCTTCTTTCTGCTAGACACCGATAAACGTGGGGAATTCTTGTAACAGGAGTTGAGAGAACCTTATCGCGAAGTAATGGTTAGAGAACTTGTCTATCAAACTGTTACGACTCTAATAATGTTATTGTCGAAGGTTACTAATGAAAACATGAGACCTAATCTGACATACGCAACATTATTCTTTATTCAACTACCGACTTCGTTAATCACCGTCGGCTGGTGGGTGCGTGGCTTTGGGGGGTTCTTCTCCAAAACGTAGACATTATTACATTCACACGTGCATTGTCTAAGACTGGGTGTCTCTGGGATAGATGTGTGTGTGTGTGTGTGTATATATGTGGTGGTACTCGCTTGGAAAAACCTTGGGTATTTCGGCTTGTAGTAGAACAAACCAGTACCCAAGGAAAAATGAGGAATAAAAAAAGAAAGAACCAAGAACATGAAACTGAGAAGAAAACAATAAAGTTCAAGCTCAGAGTCCAAAGAAGAAAAAAACTTCAAGACGAGTAAAAGGCAACTACATAAAGTGCTCAATACACGAAATAGAGCAAAACCTAAGATAATCCTAAGGAGCCAGGCAAACCTACCTAGGTTTCACCTAAACGAATCGTCAGAGTAATACTGGCCCTCATTACCCTGACGATCCGTTTAGATGAAACCTAGGTAGGTTTATCTTTATATATATAAGAAATAAACATAATACCTTACATTAATTACACAGCGCCGAGTTTCATGTCGAAGCAAATGTCAAGTGCTGGAATTATTATGTTTATTTAAAAAATAATTAAAAAATAATAATTCTAGCACTTGACATTTGCTCCGACATGAAACTCGGAGTTGTGTAATTAATGTAAGGTATTATGTTTATTTCGTTATATATATATATATATATATATATATATATATATATATATATATATATATGTGTGTGTGTGTGTGTATATATATATATATATATATATATATATATATATATATATATATGTGTGTGTGTGTATATATATATATATATAATTTTAAATTATTTTTATATTGAATTTCAGCGCTATTACAAAGTTTGGGAAATTTTGTTCAGCACCCACATGAAAAGATAAAACCTTAATTTTATTCTTTTATTATCTCCAATATTTTTAAAAATGGATTTCTTTTTTTTTTCAGACTCTATTGAAGGAACTGAACAAGGGGTGACGTCGACTGGTGCGACAAGATTGATATGCATGATCTGTTAGTACGGGTGACTTAGCAGAGGGAGACTTTTCAGTTACACTTGATGAAGACAGTTGACACTTTTAGCTGTCAGTACCACCACCATCACCGAGGCCGATTTGGCCACTGTCACTCCCACCGGTTGTCAAAAGATGCTATAAACTTAGAAGGAAGGGAATGACACCAACTTCAAAAGAGAGCGAAGAATCTAAATTTTGCTGAAAGCTAAAGATTTAGTGTTGACAACCCCTCTCGTACCACGATTCGTATCTGTCAAACAATATTAAAATTAGTTTTTCCGTCTTTTCTACTATTTCTTGTTCATTTTACTTATTTTTTAGGTTAAAAAAACCCCCAAAAAACCTTGTATTCTTAAAAATGGAATTTTACAGAAAAAATTAAAATTTCAACTGTGATGTTTTTTTAAATCTATGATATTATTTTAATAACCTCGAGGCGGTGTAATAGTTAGCAAGCTTATCTCGCTAGAACAATTACGACTGAGTAGTGATTTCGATGCTCACTGGGTGCCCCATACTTTCGGCCTTGTGCTACATATAAGCTACGCTTGGAAAATCACTATTATGCCAACAGAAGCCTCCATTATTTCGAGGGTAGAACTTCGCTTTCTCGTTCTCTCTCTTTATTTCATAATATAATTATTTTATGTAAAATTTATTAATCTTTTCATTCACTCCACTTTCCATAATGAACATTTCCATATTTTATTACAAAAAAAAAATTATCCCATGGAAATAGTGATAGAGTAGCAAAGATGTTGGCAACGTTTCGTCTTTAAAAAGGGTTGTAGAGCAGAAAATAATTTATCACCCACAAGTCTGCGTAGACGCTTTTGAATTCTATCAAGACGAGTAAGTGAAGACTGGGCTGCTCCAACCAAGATATAACAGCAATACTTTATTTTTAGTCTGACTCTTGTAAAGATTCAGTATCATAGGTGGGGGAACAGCTGCTGTTGACAAAAATGTTATTTTGACATAACCATCCAAGTTCCTTGTTGACAAAAATGTTATTTTGACATAACCATCCAAGTTCCTTGTTGACAAAAATGTTATTTTGACATAACCATCCAAGTTCCTTGTTGACAAAAATGTTATTTTGACATAACCATCCAAGTTCCTTGTTGACAAAAATGTTATTTTGCAATAACCATCCAAGTTCCTTTCCGCTACTTCCAACCAAAAGATATGTCAGGAAACCCTGAAGACTATTCACTTCAAAGAACTCTTATATTAGTCCCGTGCTGCTAATGACCACGGGACTTCTCATTTTATTGCCATTTTCTTTTAATGCCATGTTCTCAAAGGACGTAAGCGATCATCGCTCCCTTTTCTTTCTGTGAATTGCCATTATTTCTTGTGAAAGGTTCCGAAGTCAGAGTTGTCAATCTGCAAGAAAAGTCTAGTCTACTATTTAATCCACAGCAGAGGTGGATAATGGAATTAAATTTTTTTCTCGAAAATTCAGTTCAAAAGTGAACGCAATAGACGCGGACGAGACTTGAACTCAGCTCGCTGATTCCAATTTTTCTGGCGATAACCGTTACACTGCCATTTATTAGAATTTAAATAACGGAAACAACAATATTTGTAAAAAGTAGGTTTTTCATCACCACCACGACTGTCCTGTAATATATTTTCTTTTAAATTCACGGATATATCTGAATTTTTATGATATGGTCAATTCATGTTTTTAAAACGAAAGAAATCTATTTACAGATTACGTCAACACGATGTTTGTTCGTTCCGAGTGGCATAATGCATGCTTAATATGAGGAAATCTTCGGATGTTCTCATGATTTATTTAGTATTAAGAACTTATTGCTAACAATTACCTGACAACGAGTGAGTCTACTGTCAGACAAAACAACGAGACAAAATTAAATTGTAAATTATTGCACCCACGAGGCTATAATAGGGCTAAAGTGTTTCACTCCTGACTTTTTGCTGAAACTAAGAAACTTAAAAGGAGCCTGTCATCATGGCCGCAATTTTGGAAATAACTTTTTCAGCAAGAAACATTTTCAGTTAAGTGATCGTTAACTGAATCTTATCTATGTTTCTGATGTAATGGAATAACTAGTCACCCCCATGAATGATTACGCTATATGTAGTAAGTACCTATAAAGTCAACTGTCTACGATAGACTCCAGGAAGAGTGAAAGAGAGAAAACGCAAGCATGTCTGACCTTCCAATTAGTGGCACTCACTACTAGATTGACCTGTGTGTATAACTGTACCGTATTTCATATTGTACTTGTTGTGTACAATAAACCTTTCTTCTATTATCCACCTGGTGTTAAGTATTTATTCCCTTAGCACGGAATATAACAATTTCCAATAGAAAAATAGATAACACGAAACGCGTGATTTTTTGGGTCAAAAGGTGTGGCCACTACAGTAGTAGTGGCGTTTACTGACAGAGCTCAACCCTTTCCAGGTTAGTTTGGAACTGAGAGTTTTTTTCTTCTAAACCGGTTGCCACACAATAGGACCCAGTCTGTCCTGCTAGAGAAGAGATAGATTCATACCTTTTTCAATGGTATTAGAATGTAAATGAATGTAATGAACACGACTGGAATTCGAACTCGGCTTCTCCGATTGCTCAATACGAGCCACTGTCCATTACTCCACCATGCCATAGATAGATAGACAGAAAGAAAGAACTTTCAACTTAATCCATGTAAATATTTTTAATGAATTTTAGAAGAAAAACTATGTTTAATACCAACTATGAAATGCCGCTCAAGAAAGAAAGAAACATTAGTTTACAGTTGTGTCTGTGTGTGTTTGTTTTTCATGGTGTGATTGTATGAGCGTGTTTCGGTGGCTGGGGCGTTACCTGTGACCACTTCTGACTAACACTCATTTTCTGAGACGCTTTTAAACTGAAGACTAACAACATGAAATGACCGGACATTTGCCATTTCTCTTTGTCCTGTTTGTAAATTTCATTTTTTTTTAACCAGTGTTAAT